TGCCTAGTGGCAGGAAGCCTAAAACGCTCATTAAAGCCCTGCTGCTGTGCTGGCCCTGCTCACCCGGCGCCGGAGCAGCTCGGGGCACGCCGTGGCCGCCCCACTGGAACCATCAGGCTGAGTGTCCCAGCAGCAGCACCCAGCCGAGCCCACCGGCAGAGCCAGCCCCGGTGTATGCACGGTGTCATCCCCAGCGGGGATTTAGGGAGGCCTTGCAGAGCCTCACACGGCTGAAAAGGGAGCCCACTGTGACTTTTCAAGGAGTTGGTGCTTTGTTGTTGGTGGCCTCCAGGTGGGCATGGTGGAGGCGGCACTGGTGTGGGCTCCCTGTGCCCCACCAGTGCCAAGAGCTGCCTGTCCAAGCTGCGTTGTTGCCCTCGTCCAAGGCATGGTTGACTCCGCGTTGCTCTGATGCACCCGTGGCGATGGGGCGGCAGAACCTTGCTCCCTCCCACGCCGCAGCCAAGCCAAAATCCCCCTTGGATCCCGCCTTGAGCCCCGTGATCGGCCGATCCCAGGCACTGGGGATGGGTGAAGCTTTTAGCGAACACAGCCGCTGCCTTTGCAGAGCACTCAAGGGTGCTGCAAATGAGCAGCGCGCTCGTCGGCAGCCACCCTCATGAATATTTTAGCTTGGAGAATTAACATTTGTCAAGAAACATTTATGGAGACAGCGTGGATGTCTCTTCCCCAGGCGAAGCAGGCTCGCTGCTGCTCCAGGGCGGTGCTGGGAGCCAGGGCAGAGCCAGCCGAAGCCTGAGCCCTTCCCGTGCAGCATCACGGTGGAGTGGGATGGCAGAGCCATGATCTCTCCCCCCGGGACAGCTGGGCCCTGGTGCCAAGGCAACCAGCCCGCCATGTGAGATAGACAAATGGTTGTGGGTTGGTTTTGTGGTTGGTTTTTTGTTTTTTTTTTTCTTTTTCTTCCCCTCCTGGTTCTTGGCAGAAAGTAAAATGTCCCTTTTGTTTGGTTCCTCCTCCCCCTGCCCCATCGCCTTTCTTTAAAGGTTGTGTTCCAGATTTCATCAACCCGTGTTGTGTAATAGCCCTGGAGAACGGCGTGGGCATTGGCTGTGTCCCACCGAGGCCATGGCAGAGCCGCTCCTTGGGAGCTTGACCGTGGGGTTACCTGCTCAGAAAACATCCTGCGTACAGCTGCTGAGCGAAGCTGCGTCGTATTTTGGATCAAGCTCCTACGATGCACGCGTGTTAGAAATGATGGGGAAGGTGCTTGGAGAAAATTTAGAAATTTTAAAATGAAATAATCCTGTATTTCTACCTCAGCCCTGCAAAACCGTATGGAAATGAGGTGTCTTGCAGAAAAACCCTGTTGACTTACAGCATCAGCGACTGCACCTGGGATTTCGTTGCTCACAGAGCATCCAGCACTGCGCATCCTCCTGCCACAGCACCTGGGTCTCCCCAGTAACACCCCATTTGGGATTTCTTCCTTCAGGCTTGTAAGAGGTCCCCGTTCTTTCTTCCCCTCCTTTCCACTGTCCAGGGTAGGGGCTGCTGCAGTTGCTGGGCTCTGCATCCTAAGAGCATCCATCCAAAGGTCCCTGCATCTCATCTGGAGGCTGCTGGGGTTGTGGATGTGGAGAGCATGGTGTGACTGGTGTCCCGGGCACCCGGGAAGGGAGAGGAGGAGGAGGAGGAGAGCGTACTATAGGCTTTGTGTAGTATGGAGGGGGACGCTGTGAGCACGTGTGTGTGTAAATATGGATCTGTCATACCAGAGGGAAACAGCAACACTATTGTTTTCTTGGCTCCAGCTCCTCTGCTGATGCTGGCAGTGTGGAGGGCTGTAGCTGCTCATACGGTGTGAGTGCTGCCTTCCCTGCTGCTCCGCTCACCAGGCCGGAGGTGGCCAGTGACAGCGAGGAGAGCTGCTGCTCATGATGGTGCCTGTAATGGTGTCCTCTGCTGGGGCACCATGCTGTGCTTCCAATCCTCCCCCCAGTTAAAAGACACACTCAGGCACCAAATCCAGTCTTGGGGTAGCTGTGTGCTCCATCCCATTGACAGCAGCATGGGAAATGTCAAAGTCAGGGCCATCGCCTGGGGACAGGGCTGTCCCCAAGGCAGGGACTGGCAGAAGCCAGCAGCTGGAGCCCAGAGCTGAGCCTGAGCTCCACTCCTGCTTCACCCGGACACGAAGCCTCCCCGTGGCCCTGGGGTCCAATGCTGGGTTCGACCTTGTATCAAAGCATCTGCTCTTCAAAGCGCTGGTTGAAGTCCCAACCTTGTTATTGTTTTGGCGTCTCTGCCCCGTAACACCTCCCTGCTTTTGCATTTTTTTATTCCCGTCCAGTTGTCAGAGCCACACAGTCCTTGTCTGGCCTGGGACCAGCCTGGGGACCAGCTCTGCTCATCCTTCCCTGGGCATCCCCAGCCCTGAGAAAGCCCCGGTGCCGAAATGGGTGCTCAGAGGTGGGGAAGGGGTCCGTGTGTCCTCGTCCCCCGCTGCAGAGCCTCTCCCATTTCCCCTGCTCCCACGCCACCGCCCTGCAGCTTCGGCACGCGAGGGCTGTCCCTGTTCTCCTGGTTCCTCCGTGTGCCGTTGCCAGCTCCTCTGCCAGGGATCCCCGGCCGGTTTTGAGGTGCTCCTGGGGTGCAGGGCTGCCTGACCCCCATCCTTTTTGCTTGGTGGAGTTTGCGTGTGGGTGTGCGCGTTTCCACCTGGCACCCTTTGCATTTCGCTTTGCTTTAAAGTGCCTGCGCTGCCTCCAAGGAAGGAAATAAACGGTGTAAAGGAATTTACATCCTGACTGAGCGAAGCTGCTGGTCTGTCAGGTTTAATTGGCTGCTGAGAAGTGTGGGGGTGCAGGGGGCTGCTGTGGGGTGTCCCCGGCCGCAGTTGGGGCAATCCCAGCTTTGCTTGCAGCCCCTCTCCTGGTGTCTCGGCTCGGAGGCACGGTGGTGGCCAGGGACCCATGCGTCAGTCTGTGTGAGATGTCAGCATTCATCCTCCCAAGGAAGGGTACACGGCAAAACCACTTCACAGGGCTGCCCTGGTAGTGTGGGGGCCCCAAACCGGCTCCTCTGCTCCGGGCACGCTTGGGTCGGGGCTGGGTGCGAGCAGCGGGGGAAGCCGCCCTGAACGCTGCCGTGGGGTTAAAGAGGGAGGAGAGCAGGCGGGTTTCGCCGTCTCCTCCTCTCCTCCTGTGCCAGCTCCCTGCCAAAACCCTGCAGGGCTTCCCAGGGAGTCCAGGGGTGCCTGTGGGCAAGGGTGCGCTGAGTGTCCCAGTGTCCCTGTGAGGGACTGGGGCTCCCTCCTGGAGCTGTCCTCATCCCCTTTTTCCCCTGTCCTGGTGGTGTTCCCTGGTGCAGAAATGCTCTGGGTGGGGAAGGCGGTTGGACCCAGACCTTACAGTCCTGGAGGCCTTGGCTGTGCTGAAGGCCAGCGAGACAAAAACGTTTCTAAGACTCCACTTGGAGCAGGAGAAAGTTTTTCCGTTGGGTTTTTATAGCTCCCGGAAAGCAGGGTTTTATTTTTGTTGTCTGAGACAAAAAAAATCCTCTTAGGAGCCGACTACCCGCAGCAGTGCAGGGTGGGCGTCTGCGCATGCACCGTGCTGGGGGTCTGGGCTCGGCTTTCCCTCCGTCCCAAGGGGTCTGAGGATGTTGATGCTGGTTTCCACAAAGGAAAACAGGAGGTTTTGTTGTCCCTGATGTACAACTGGTCCCATTCGTGTGCCCATGCTGGGCACTGATGCTGCAGCACACGTGATGGCTCCATGCCACTGCTGTTGTAGGATGCTCCTGCCTGGGGACACAGCTGCAGGGAAGGAGGCTTCCTTTTCTGGAGAAGGGGGCTGTTTCCCATGGCCTGCGGATGGGTAAACCGGGGGCCGTGGTGGGCTGATCTGAATTTCCTGGGGTTATAGGCTGGGGCCATCGAGCTTTCCCTAATCGCCCCTTCTTTACATAGTGTAGGCTGCTTTTGGAGGGGTTTTATTGGCAGGGGAGCTGGTTTCCATGGTAAAAACCTTGACAGCATCTGCCAACAATCCATCTCCCTGTTGGCCCGGCCATCTGGAGGGCACAAGGAGGCTTTGGTGGGGTGAGGAGGTGGCCACGGGCTGCTTTGGGTGCTCCTTCGGTGCCGTTGGAAGCTCGGAGGGGTCCCTCCGCCTGGTCATTTATGGTCCAGGTGCAGGTTCACACTGGGATGCAGGGGGGACCCCAGTGTCACTGAGCCTGGTGGGTCACAGGCAGGCTGGGGAGGGGGCCAGACGTGGCATTGCCACTCGGGGAGGAAGGGCTGCGGGTGCCATGCACCGGGAGTGGGTGGCCATGCTGTAATCGGATGAGCCGGTGCTGCTCCAGATGGACCTGTCAGCTCTCGTCAGTGCTGACACCCCTCTGGGACCCTCCGTGTCCCCTCGGGCCAGGGGGACCACCGCCTGTCCCACTCCACTGTGTCTGCTTGGAGCAAGGGGACCAGGAGGTGACACTGTGTTTGCAAAACCTGTCAGACAAAAAAGGTCCCTCCCTGGCAAACTCCGTGTTTTGTTAAATTTAGTGGGAAAAACCTGGCTTGTCGTGTCTCTAGTGCCTGAGCCGTCCTGCGCTGAGGGTGGTGGGGCCTTACTGCTTTGCCACCCTCTGTCCCCAGGCGCCACCCCACCACCCCAGATGGTTTGCAGCTGCAAACCCAAAGCCAGCCACTCGGTGCCTTGCCCTGGTGTCCCTGTGCTGCAGCGGGGCAGCCATCCTTCCCTGGGCGTTTGGCATAGGAGAAGCATCTTGCTGGCAGCAGTGGATTGGGTTGGACTGGACTGGGCTGACAGGAGTTGTGGCTGCTGGTGTGTGTCCCTAGATGTGTGGCCCAGGGCTGTGCTGTGTGCCAGCACGGCACACGGATGGCGGTGGGTACTCACGGGCGGAGCATCTTGGTGTGTAGGATCCTGGTGTCCGCCAGGAGAGGTTTTAGGGCTCAACTCTGCGCTCGTCTGCTCTCCTTAAACGTTCCTCCTTTCTCTTTCCCCTTGCAGCCAACCACCCTCCCGCAGGGCACCATCAACATGAACCAGTGCACGGATGTGGTGGACGGGGAGAGCCGGACAGGGCAGAAATTCTCCTTGTGCATCCTGACGCCGGAGAAGGAGCACTTCATCCGGGCTGAGAACAAGGAGATCATCAGCGGGTGAGTGCAGATCTGGGGCTGAGCTGCTGCAGGGAGCTGCTTCCCTTAGCCAGGAGGAAGAGGAGGGCAGGTAGCACCTTGCCCGAGGCCAGGTGCTGTGTCAGTGTGTACCCAGGCTGATCCCTGAGTGACAATCAGAGCCTGCTGTAGGGACAGTGCTGGGGGCCGGGTGTAGCTGCTGCCTCACACTTAGCTCCAGTCTTCTCCACCTTTTTGGCAAGGACAGGGTTTCTTTCCCCTTCCCCGCTCTCCTGCCGTTGCCTGGTGCTCTGCAGCAGAGCGAGGGCCTGAGCACCCGCTGAGCCACCAGATTACAGGGTGAGCATAAGCACTGACTTCAGTGGAGACCTGTGCTGCAGTGGATGGTTTAAGTCCTTCCTCCGCACCTAGTGCACGTACTCAGCCGTGCTGGGCTGCAGCCTGAGGCTTCCCAACATGCCAGACACCTTTCAGAGCCTCTGCTGGGAGCCTTGGCCAGGCCCCGGAGCCAAGATGCCCCCGAGTCACTCGTTATTTATGAAGTCCACTGTTTTTAGGTCAGTTTTGTTGTCTGCTGTTGGGGATTAGCCTGCTCCCCCCTGCAGAGCAACACTCCCTGTGGAATTTACCCCTGGGAGCGAGCTGAGCTACACTGGTGTGGTTGTGGGATGCTCAGGGGGTGTATCTGATGCCGAGGAGCTCCTGGGCTGGCCGTGGCAGCTTCAGTCCCAGCAGAAAGCAGCTATTTATTGGCCGAGGGAAGAAGCTTGGCTGCAGGGTGAATGCCAAGATGGGGTTGGAGCCGATGGGTGCTGGGGTGACCCCACGGTGCTTTTAGGACAGCAACCGATCAGTCACCCAGCCTGTTGGCTCAGATACCACCAGCGGCAGGTCCCATAGTCCTGGGGCTGGCATGCCCGACGCCAAGCACCATACGCCCTCTGGTCCTCGTCTGTCCCTGGGCTGCCTGCTCTGCATTTACCCCATCCCCATTCGGACTCTCCTTCGTAGTGTCCACCTCGCCCTGCTCGCTCTCTGCAGGCGGGCTGGCAGAGGGGGCAGTTGCAGCCCACCCCGCTGGTCCCAGTGAAGCATCTGAGCTCCGAGGACGATTAATATATCATCACTCATAGGAGCGCCTGCCGCTGGGATGCGGTTGCTCAGCACCACTGGAGATTAGGCCACTAAAATGAGCAAATCACCGTAGATTCCTCAACTCCAGGTGTTGGACGATGACCTAGAAACACGCTCGTCCATCGCTCGCGTGCTGGCTTGGGTTGAAGCTGGTGCTGGTGAGGGCGCAGAGCCATGGGAGAGTCGAGCTGCCAGCACGCGGCGACAGACTGCAACGGTGCTGCTGCTCACCTGCAGCACCCCACGTGGCATGTCTGGAGCTCGTTGCGTCGCTCCCAGAATTTGTTGACACTTGAAACTAGAGCAGAAAGTTGAAGGGACAAAGTGCTTCCTCTTTCCCGCTCTACCCAAGGCGTGGTGTCTCCTGCTTGCCCAAGCCCTGTCAGCAGCAGTCAGTGCTTTCTGTTGAGATGATTCCTATTTCCAAGCATTTTCTTTGATTGTGACTCCCCCCCATTTTGGTACATACTGGTTGAAATAGGCATTTTTCTACCAAGAGCTTGGGACTTTGATCAGAGGTACGTTTTATGCATTGGAACATCCCTGCTCTACTGCGACGTGTGAGCGTGGGTGAATCCCACCACCTTGGGCCAGCAGACCTGTCCTCTGGCAGCACGGCCGCCCCCCTCGCCCCGTTGGCAGCGGGGTTGCAGCAACTGCAGAGCCGGGCTGCAGAGGCACGGGGGGAACAGTGCCACGGGGGAGCCAGCTCCTGTCCTCCAGCCAAGGCAGGAGCAATAGCTGCGCCCCAAAACATGGCCAACCCCCACACCCTGCTCTCTTCTCCCTCTCCCCACACTCGGGCTCGCAGCTCAGCCTTTTGTTGCCAGTCCTGCCCGCCACGCGGGAGGGAGAGGCATTGCAGAGCAAGGTGGGGCTGATTTATTGTTCATTGGCCTGGCACTGGATTTTGAAGCAGCGCATTTGCTTCTGACTGCAAACATTAATCATCCTGAAACAGTCCCGCTCTGGGTCTGAGCCAGACGGGTTTCATTTGCAGTTGCAGCATGACAGGAAGATTTCCCCGGCTGGGGGAGAATTTGTTTTACGTTCGTTGCATGCTTCTGGCATTTATTGCTTAACCAAAACCCACTTGATGTGGTCATCTCAAAACGCTTTACAGCAGCAGCGTGCAAAGTAGGGGGGAACAGGAGAAGGAAGCAGGGACATCTGAAGTAGGAATGTTTCCCAGCGGTCCCTGGATCCCCGTGGTGTTCACAGAGATGCGGGGGCAGGTCATCGGGCCGTGGCGGGAGGGCACAGGAGGGTCCCCCAAACAAGCGATTTGTGCAGGGGATGGACTTCTCAAGGCCAAGCTCACGCTGCCCTTTCTTGGACAAAAGCGCTTTGTGTGCGGTGTGCGAGCATTGGCCTCGCTGAAGGGGGAAGGTCTTGTTGGAGGCTCTGTCCCTCTTGGCTGTCTTTTGGGATCCTTGAATCCCTGTCCCGTGTCTGCCTTGGCTGCGGCCTCACTCTTGCAGTGAGCGGGGTTTGAGCCAAAGCACCCTGGGGTCATCCCTCCTCCCCTCCTCTCCTACCTCATTTTTCCCCCCAGGAGCCGGTTGGGATGATTTCTGGGTACTATTTACCACGTTGACCCTGACTAGGTTGAAGAAGCTGAGCTCCTCTGTGTGCCCAGCTCCAGTTCGGAGCCCAGAAGGCTGGGCTTAGGGGTGACATGCAGGTGCTCTGTCTCTGGAGCTTGCAGGCAGCCTGCCCCGGAGGCAGGATGGGGCAGCATCTCCCTGGGCAGTGTGGTCAGAGCCACCCGTGGCAGGGAACAGCTTTGGGGTCCACAGCCTGCGGGAAGCTGCGTTGCACCCCACGGCACAGACCTCACCTTTTGCTTTGTCTGCCTGCAGGTGGCTGGAGATGCTGATAGTCTATCCAAGGACGAACAAGCAGAATCAGAAGAAGAAGAGGAAGGTAGAGCCCCCAACTCCCCAGGTAACCCCAGGCACTGTCATCCAGTCCCTTGCCTCCCTCTCAGGGCCATGGCATTGCTCTGCTCCCGGGGAAGATCCCCCCCCGAAACCAGCTGGACCAGCGGGCTGCCAGCCCTCTGATGCTGCCTGCACAGCGGGCGAGAGCTGAGGCGAGACGGGGCAGCAGGATGGCTTGAATTAATTCCTGCTCATCACTTCCCAGGGTCACAACGCTGCTGCTGCTGCCTTCGTGGCTGCTTTGGGGCCGTGTTTTCGCCCCCCCAAGCACTGTCTTATGGCACCAGCCCTGCACGCTCTGTCCCGGGAGCAGCCACAAAGCCGTGTGGTCCCCGTGGGGGACCGGGAAGAGGTGCTGGCCGTTCACGGGCCATTTCGGCAGAAACAGGATGAAATTCCATCGGGCTCCGGTTACCCCCTTTGAGATGACCCCAGAGATAATGGGAATGAAAGGAAAATACTAAAGGCCAGGGCCAGGCTGGGAGCTCCGGGGGCCGGAGCTGGGCTCTCCAGGGACCCGGCGGTGGCTTCGTGCTCACTTTGACTATAAATGGTAAAAAGCGGGGCCAGCCGTGACTCACTCGTTCCTGCCGGGCTCCCACGTGGCCAGAGTGGGGGAGAATCCCACAGATGGGGAACGTGACCCCGAGGCCACCCTCGTCCCTCGCTGGGGCTGAGAACAGCCACGTCCCCGAGGCCGCCTGACCTCCGGCCGTGCATCCCACCGCCACAGGGGAGCGGGTGGGAGGGCTCCTCTGGCCGAGCTGGGCTGCAGCACTGGGGGACTGAAAACAGCATTGGGGCTCCCCTGAGCCCCAGTTTTCAAGTCCCCTTCGATAAAGTCCCCAGGATGGTCCTGGTGCAAACTGGGCCATGGGTGGGTTTTGTACGGTGTTTGTTTGAATCAAATTCCCACCACTTCACCGGATAAAGAGGTTCTGGGCAATGGGGAAAAAAATTGCGAGGGAAGATGATAATTTTTTGCCCACCAGTCTGAAAGTCTGACCCACACCCTCCTGAGGGCTGGGGTCGTCACAGCCCCTCGAGTGCTGACTCCAGTGATGCTCCAGGGAGGATGCCTTCTCCCTCCGGGGCCAAGAGTTGCCCATCCTCAAGCCCCAGGGAGGGGGCTGCCACATTTGGGGCACCCCAGCGAGCTGCTGCAGCAGGGCAGGGATGCTCACCCCATCCCTGGCGCAAGACTAAACTCAGGCTGGGTTCAGGAGGGGGACGGGGCGGAGAGGAGAAGGGGCGCAGAGCCAGAAAAACATCATTCTGGGTTACATTTCATTGCCATGGCAACTTCTTGGAAACTGTACAGGATCCGAGCTCCTGAGCACCAAATAAGGGAAGCGGCTGCGGGAGGGATGCTGGCTCCCCGCAGGCAGACGGGCTCCCCAGGTGCTTGGGGATGGGGTGAGCGTGCAGCCTGGTGGCACTTTTTCCCCCTTGGCTTGGGGCGGACCACCCCGCTCCCTAAAGCTCGTGTGGGAGGGAGGAGGGTGGTCCACCCCAAGCCCTATCCTTCTCGCTACTCTTCCACCCCCTCCCTCCCAT